TCCGAGATTTATTTAGGCAGCTGAGGCAACATTATCAACTGCCTAAAAGCTTTATCGATCCTACGAAGAACCGTTTTCAGTTACAAAATCGACCGGTATGAACCAGTGCTATGTATGTGCTCCTACAAGAATCAGAAGACTTCTCGGAGACGAGGTGTTTGAGACTTAAACTCAGCTTCATTGATTGTATTTTTTAAAAAAGAGTCCCAAAAATTCGTCATAAAAAAATCGGCATACAATTTTTGGGTACATCTTTCGGGGTTGTTGCGACCAACGGGATTTGGTGGACATGCAATAAGCTATATATTCTGGCATAACCATTTTTTTTTCCATAACCAAAGTCTTTTAGACGGGTTATACATTTTAGGCCTTAAACGCCTTTCAGCAGACCATGCTGCGATTAGGAAAGGTCCTCAATTGTTGTGCACCCCAATAGTATCATTCAGGAATAACTCACAGGATTCAGTTATGAAAGTGTCGTTATAGTTAGATCTTTCGCAGGACTTATCAGGTAATTAATTCTGACTTGCTGACGATTATATTTATCTACTTGTGAACAAACTTTTTCAAAAAAACCTTGCTACCTATCTACTATTTTATTGTAGCAAAAAGTCAATCTACTACTCGCACTTCGACCAATACTTAATCCCATATTCTGTCAGCGGCACTTTAATCGAAACTGCATTTTTTATTTAGCTTATTACATAGCCACCCTGTATGTAGCGGCCATTTTCCATGGCAGCTGCAACTGCAACTGCAATTGAATTAATAAATTCACCATTTAACAATTGGGCTTGAAATAGTGATCCACGTATATATCTACGTACATCAAGTGTGTACATATGTATGTACTCTCGTATGTAAAAGCAATGACTTTCACATTAAGTACATTAGAGCACAGGATTTCTCCATTACAAAATTCAAAAGGTCGCACCCTCTCGCGAACAACAATATTTTGCACTTTTGCTTTTTTGTGCAACGGAGACACTGTCATAGCGAGATCGTTAAACAAAAGTATAAAAAAATACTGTAGGTATAACCAGCTGGACGCGAAGCGGGAGAAAAGGGTGTGCGTTCATCAAAAAAAAATAAAAATAAAAAAATAAAAATACTACCAACAAAAAATGTCGAATAGCTGAGATGTAACGCGTAATTTCCCCTAAAATAAGCACAACCAGCGGTAACAGCCACAGCAAAGGACATAAAAGGACACGCACACATGTAAACGCATTCCCATCCTTACCGATTGAGAACAATAGCCGAACGGCTTAGGACTCGCTTTCGCTGTGCCTGCACAATAGAGATTGGGCGCAGCATAACATAGACGCACAGGAACATACGCAGTTACCTACAATTTACGCTTGTCGTATAAATTCGTCTATGTATGTACATACATGTGTAATATAGTAAATACTATGTACATGTGTTGGTATATAACATCTTCCTTGCCAACCTTTTCCATAGCTGTTCTCGGGTGCGCTCGTGTACCACCACCCGATCAACAGAGTAGGCAGACTTGCGTGTTAGAAAGCAACCCTGAAATCGTACGGATATGTAGGTAGGTATGTATCTAGGTACCTACAGTATCGGTCATATTTATAGCACGCCATTTCAAAGTGATATTGTGTGCCACTTATATTTATTTATTAATTTTTAAGAATTTTCAATTAAAATTTGGTTCATTCTCAGACAAACCCCATATATACCCAAGTTTAACAATTTGTAGAAAACTTCAAAAAAGTGCAACAAAATTTCACCTAAATTTCAAACTTTTTTCTCGGAAGTGCTAGAATTTTTTTGAGTACACAGTTTTTTAGCCCCTGCAATTTTAGTCTGATAATGTGCAAATTTCAAGTGGCTACTAATTACCGTTAATTTTTTAGAATTTTTTT